ATGCCCTGACCAGGGAGCGAACACACAACCTTGGCATATTGGGATGACGCTCTAACCAACTGAGTACCTGACCAGGTTTCATGTTTTTGATAATAGCCATTCTGCCATGTGTGTGGCGATATCTCATGGCTTTGATTTCTTTTATTTTTTTATTTTTTATTTTTTGCTTAAAGTATTACAAAGGGTCAGAGAGGAAGGAAGAGGGAGAGAGAGAGAAACATCAATGATGAGAGAGAATAATTGACTGACTGCCCCCTCCATCCAGGCTGTTGCAAATGGTAGGAGTTCCTTCTTTTTTTACAGCCGCGTAGTATTCCATTGTGCAGATGTACCACAGTTTTCTAATCCACTCATCTGCTGGTGGGTACTCAGGCTGTTTCCAAATCTTAGCTATTGTAAATTGTGCTGCTATGAACATAGGGGTGCATATATCCTTACTAATTGGTGTTTCAGATTTCTTGGTATATATTCCTAGAAGTGGGAGCACTGGGTCAGATGGTAGTTCCATTTTTAGTTTTTTGAGGAAACTCCATACTGTCTTCCACAGTGGCTGCACCAGTCTGAATTCCCACCAGCAGTGCACGAATGTTCCTTTTTCGCTGCATCCTCTCCAGCACTTGTCCTTCGTTGATTTGTTGATGATAGTCGGTCTGACAGGTGTGAGATGGTACCTCGTTGTTTTGATTTGCATCTCTCGGATGATTAGTGACTTGGAGCATGTTTTCATATGTCTCTTGGCTTTCTGAATGTCCTCTTTTGAAAGGTGTCTATTTAGGTCCTTTATGGCTTTGATTTCTATTTCCTTGATGATTAGTTACATTGAGCATCTTTTCATGCCCATCTGTCCTTTTTGGAAAAATGTGTATTCAGACTGTTTGCCCATTTATTTGGATTTGTTTTGTTTTATTAAGAGGATATTTTATGCATTGACTTTTAGAGAGTGGAGGGGAGGAAAGTGGGGTGGGGGAGGGAAGGAGAGAGACTGAGAGAGAGAGAGAAAAAAAAAGAGAGAGAAACGATGAAAGGAAGGAAAGGAGGGTGGGAGGGAGGAGGGAAGGAAGGGAAAGAAAGGAAAAGCAAGAAAAAGAGCCTGGTTGTCCTGGCTCAGTGGTTGAGCGTTGACCTATGAACCAGGATGAGGGCACAGGCCCGGGTTGTGGGCTGGATCCCCAGTGGCGCGTGCAGGAGGCAGCCAATCAGTGATTCTCTCTCATCACTGATGTTTCTACCTCTCTCCCTCTCCCTTCCTCTCTGAAATCAATAGAAATATATTTTTAAAAAGAAAGAGAAACATTGATGTGAGAAAGACACATCGATTGGTTGCCTCCTGCACCTACCCAGACAGGCTTGGGAAGCAAACCTACAACCCGGGTACATGTCCAGGGCTGGGAACCCGTGATGGTCTAGCACTGAGCCACACCCACTGGCCAGGACGCCCATTTTTTAATTGGGTTGTTTTTTGATGAGTTGTAATATACGTTCCATGTAGTGGAATACACGTTCTTCATCTGCCCTACAGTTGATGGGTGTAATGATGCTGTGGACATTATTGTGTATCGTCCTGGTGCACGCGTGGCAATTTCTGCTAGATGGGACGATAAGCACACGGGAGATTGATCAAGTAGTGGGGCTTGGTTTTCACGTTGCTGTGCCAGTTTTCATGCCCATTAGCAGTGTGCCAGTCACCCGACAACATCCTCTGCATTTGATAATGTCAGGCTTGTTAATTTCTGCCAATCTGGTGGGTGTGTAATAATACCTTGTGTTTTAACTGATTTCTCCCTGGTTCCTAATGGGATTGAGAATTTTTTTCAGATGTTCATCGGCCATTCAGGATTTATGGTTTTTGTTTGTTTTATTTCTAATCTTCACCTGAGGATATGTTTTTATGGAGTTTTGAGAGAGAGGAAGGAAGAGGAAGGGAGAGAAACACCGATTGGTTGCCTCCCTCACGCACCCCGACCAGGGATTGAACCGCAACCTTGGTATGTGCCCCGTCGGGGAATGTAATCGTTGACCTTTTTGGTGCATGGGACTGCTCCACCCAACTGAACCACACCAGCCAGGTCCAGGCTTTTTGGTTTTTAAAAATAAAACTCTTGTTGAAATCATTAGCCCATGTTTTCCCATTTTTAAAAATTGATTTGTAGGTGTTTTGAAGAAGAATACATGCATTCTGAATCTGGCCCTTTGCGCACGTGAGGCAGGTAGCTTTCCGCAGTTAGTAGCCTGTCTTTTCATTCTCCTTGAGGTGCCCTCAGTTTTAAAATGTCTCCATTTTTTATCTTTTCAGAACGCCAGTCTGAATTGCCAACCCAAAGTAAGGCTAGCTTCCCCAGTATTCTCAGTGACCCAGACCCGGACTCTTCTAATTCTGGATTTGACAGCTCCGTGGCCTCTCAGATCACAGAAGCTTTAGTCAGTGGACCGAAGCCGCCTATTGAAAGTAGGTACATGTTTCATACTCTCGGTTTTATTTTATCATCATCCTGAGTTGCTTTTCTAAAACATTGTTAGTTTCGTTGCTGCTTAAACTAGAATCTAATGAGAAACTCAGTGGAGTGTCTAGAGGGCCGTGGAGACGCTTGGTGAAAGTTACCTTCTGTAATGAAATCACAGTATCTGTCATCAGCACATGTGAAGATACACATTCTCCAATTTTACTGAAATGAGACTATTTTGTAGCTTATTATTATACCTCTTTATTAATTTTATCACTATCATTATTTTCCCCATTGTAAAGTTTTCCTGATCTTATAGTTCTTAATTTTAAAAAAATCCATTGAACTTGAAGTATTAGAGCGGCATCTCGTGGTTTTATAGGCTTCTGTGTTTTACTGGCGAAGGCCTGCCTTCTGCTCAGGGGTGAGAACAGGTTCTTCAGATCGCAGCGTCCCCATGAGCCGGAGGCTCACACTGACTCTGGGCCGTTTACAGTCCGTCTCTGGCGTCAGTGGGATACTGAACTCTCAGCCGGTCACAGGTGTGCCTGAAGCTCATGCACCTGGTGGGTAGCTCACACGTGCCAGGACCAGCGTTGACGCGTGGGCCATGGGAGGCAGGTGACAGACAGCAAACCTGCAGACCCGGTCAGGGCATCAAGCATCCCTCCTGCGGGAACCTGACACACGGTGTCGTGCTTCCCATGAAGTGTTAAAAACTGATTCTGTTGGAAAGAGCTTCAGCGGCTAGTTCTGCGATGTAGATGAGGAGAGAGTGTAACATACGGTGTTAGTTCTTAGCCAGAAGACAGACATTTTCAGTAAACTAGAGTATGTGCTCAGATTTTGCAGGGGCTAGGATCCAGAGGAACGAGCCATCAGGCCCTGTGTGGAGACCAGGGTGTGGAATTTGTTTAGCAGAAGTTCCAGCCAGCATTATTTTAATGGGTTTCTAACTTAGAGAGCAATCATGTTTTATGAAATAGGTGAAGTGTTGAGTCGCTTTATTTTCCTGTTGTACTTTTATTGTTTTATGAAAATGAATATGGTATTTGTGAATTTATGGAAGTCTTTAGATTCATTTGAAAATGTCAAGTCAACCATACATTTTAAAAAAATATGTATATATTTTTATTGATTTCAGAGAGGAGGGGGGGAAAGAGAGAAACATCAATGATGAGAGAGAATCATTGATAAGTTGCCTCCTATATACCTCCTACTGGAGATTGAGCCTGCAGCCCTGGCATGTGCCCTGACCAGGAATCGAACTGTTTCCTCCCGGTTCATAGGTTAATGTTCAACCATTGAGCCACGTGACCTCCTTGTTCATAGGTCAACACTCAACCACTGGACAACCATACATTTTTTCCCCCTTGACATTTCATCTCCACGTAATTTGCCACTTCATGGTTGTAAGATGCAAAGGCTGAATTAGTACACAACCTAGTGGTCTCAGGATAGAATAGTGGTAACTAAGAATAGGATGAGTGAGATCAAATAGGGTTTCATTTTCCCGAGAGACTGTCACCAGTAGGGCAGGTTGTGTCCTTTGCATTGAGTGGTAAGCATGCTCGAATGAAGGTTGTCAGCTCCTGGTGCCTCTCTTCTCCAGAAATACAGCCATTTGGTCTCTGGCATAATAACGTGTGTGCTTCACTTTCTTCTTTGTATCATGAATGAACCCTGACCTATATCCCTTCTGCTTCTGGTTTTGAAGCCACAGTTTTATCATGTTATTCTTATTAAAAGGGTGTTAGTCTACTTCATTAAGTGAAACGTGTGTAGATGCACACAGATGTGTGCAGTGTGAACTCACTGATAGAAGCAGTCACGTGTTACTTCTCATTTACAGGCCATTTTCGGCCAGAGTTTATTCGTCCACCACCTCCACTCCACATCTGTGAGGACGAGCTGGCCTGGCTGAACCCAACAGAGCCTGACCATTCCATTCAGTGGGATAAATCCATGTGCGTTAAGAATAGCACAGGTGTAGAGATCAAGCGAATAATGGCCAAAGCCTTCAAAAGCCCCTTATCTTCTCCTCAACAAACACAGGTAAACCTTTTCTTTAATCTGTCAAGCATTGCTTTTTGTTTTCTCATCATGTGGTAAGTGACCCCTAGGGCAGTGATGGCAAACCTATAACACGCGTGTCAGAGGGACACGCGAACTCATTTTTTTGGTTGATTTTTTGTTGTTAAATGGCATTTAAATATATAAAATAAATATCAAAAATATAAGTCTTTGTTTTACTGTGGTTGCAAATATCAAAAAATTTCTATATGTGACACGGCACCAGAGTTAAGTTAGGGTTTTTCAAAATGCTGACACACCGAGCTCAAAAGGTTCGCCATCACTGCCCTAGGGTGATCTGAAGCACTGCTCTGCCCGCCCACTGTTGGGGCAGGAGCTTGGTGACTGACCATGTGCCGAGGTTTGTTGGGGTCAGTGTGACTCTGGGAGAGGGGGAGGGGCGTTTTTGGCACTTGGCTCCCGCTGTGTGCCAGCCAGACAATCCATGTGGCTGGGCAGGAATCTCCTGAGGGTGAGCGACTTCTCAGCCTGTCATGGGGGAGGAAGAGGAAGCACAGGTGGTAAACTCGCCACATCACACTGCTGGGTAGGGGTGGGGTTGAGGCTCACAGTGGGCCCCGCTGCCCTTGAGGGAAAGGCAAGGACACCCTGTGGGTGGTGTCTGGTTGGTGACTCCTGTTCAGGTCGCACATTCACATTAGACCCTGTCAGGAGATGCTGGCATCTCCAGTGCAGTTACCACCAGAAATATTCCTTTCAGAGTCAGGTAGGCAGCTGTTTGTAGTTCACTTTACTTACTAGGCCGCTCAGAAGCACAGTCCACTCTGGTACATAAAGTACATAGGGGACAGAACATAGACAGTTTTAAAGTAAAAGTAATTGATTATTTGGCAGGAAAAAAATTGTTTTTGAATTACAAGTATGCTTGTGGCTTGAATCATAAATACTGCAAAGGGGTGGATTGCAAGAAAGCCCTCCCCTCCCCAAGCTACCCCCCCTTCCCAGTCTGCTCCCCTCCCCAACCTGCTCCCCCTTCCCCTGGCTATTCCCCCCTCCCCAGCCTACTACCCCTCTCCCCACCCTGCTCCCCATCTCCCCAACCTGTTCCCTCTCCAGGCTTCCTTTTCCCACCTGGAGCGGGGCTGTGCAGTTGTTTTAGATGTCCCTCAATTCTCTACGGTCTAGGTTTTTTAGGGGAACTGGTTGGTAAATAAAATTATTTTTGACATAAAAAGAAACCCACAAAAGACTTAAGGACAGTGTTGTTACAATCCACTTATTTTATTCAACCAGACAATATTGAGTCTGGCTTAATTCCCAGGAGGAATCACTGGCATATTTATAAACTGTCTTAATTTATCGCCCTGGCCGAGTGGCTCAGTTGGTTGGAGTGTCATCCCGTATACCACAAAGATTGTGGGTTTGATTCCCAGTCAGGGCACATACCTACGTTTTTGATTTGATCCCTGGTTGGGATGCACACAGGAGGCAACCCATTGATGTCTCTCTCTCTCTCTCTCTCTCTCAAAATCAATAAAACGTATCCTCAGGTGAGGAAAAAGTAATAATAATAGAGGTGTTTATATTTTAAAATTGTTATAATTCAGATGTAAATTGAAAAATACAAAATCGTTATGATCATATATTTCAGGAAAGAAATTTATGAAGTTGATTCAATGCAGGTAATTTTGTAGCTGCTTGAAATAAAATATGTATTTTTGTATGCAGCAAAGAGAATGCTACTTTGACTCAAGAATCTTTTTTTTTTTTTTTTTATAAAACTTAGCTCCTTGGTGAGTTGGAAAAAGACCCCAAACTTGTTTATCATATTGGCCTCACGCCAGCCAAGCTTCCTGACCTGGTGGAGAACAACCCTCTCGTCGCTATAGAGATGCTGCTGAAGCTGATGCAGTCTAGCCAGATCACCGAGTACTTTTCAGTCCTGGTCAATATGGATATGTCTTTACATTCCATGGAAGTGGTGAACCGGTAAGTCCCTACTCGTGGTCAGATGGGGGGTGTAGACACCTGATTACATGGCCAGCAGGAAAAAACGACCACAAAGTTTTTTCTGGTCTTAGCCTGAGAAAACCCAATAAATTAAATAATCTGAGCCTTAGTGTTCACTGCATGTAAATTTAGCATCCCCAGTAAAGAACCCAGAGGGTAGGATTTCAAATATTTAGCATTAATCCTATATAATCCTATCTAATAAAAGAGAAACATGGTAATTAGCTGTAACTCCACTACCCTTCCCAATGGCTAATCAGGGAGACCCTTTAATACAGTTCCTCATGTTGTGGTGACCCCCAACCATAAAATTATTTTCATTGCTACTTCATAATGGTAATTTTGCTACTGTTATGAATCATAATGTAAATATCTGATATGCAGGATGTATTTTCATTGTTACAAATTGAACATAATTAAAGCATAGTG